GAGACAACTATGCATAAAGCCAATAATTTTTTANACGAGAGATTATATAATAACTCTTTTGTACTTTCATCATAAACTCCATTTCATTTTATATAAACTGACGAGAGATTATATAATAATTCACAATTAAGATTATGCCACTTAATTGTGAATATAGTTCAACAACATCATACAAATTTTTATTTCAATCAACTCTCTCTTTCATTTAAATCCATACATATATAAATTATCATTACTCAACAAGTATTCTGTCCTGTAAGTTAGAATAAAACGAATTATAGATTGTTAAAATAGGGGATAGAAATTGAGATAAAAAGCTAATGTTAAAGCACTCAAAGAACAAATACCAGAATTTTCAATTATAGACTGCATTTTAAGCAGAACAGAAAGAGCAAGCCCATTCTGGAAACCAGAGATTGACATCGTCATAATAGCGGAACAAGGAGTTCATTGATAAAATAATGAAGTTGAAACAGCTTTTCCTATTTATCAGAACTTAATGAGCATTTAATTCACAGCACTCCAGTTTTATTTAAGCGAATAATTAATATTTATTTTATTAATTATTTCTTCTGCCACATCATGTATCATATATCACACATATACCTTTTTCTCATTAGGTATGAACTATGATTTTGGGTGTCCAAATATAGATTTTGCTTCCCACATGACGTGGACATTTTCATCTGGGTTCTTTGAAAAATACTTCCTCATCATGCAAAGATTTTGATCCTTGCAGAAGATATATGAATGATCAGTGTTCTCATTCAGGCAAAATATAAAACATGGAAGAGTTTGGTATTTCTATTTTTGGTAGTTCCGATAAAATAGCGAAATATGCTGATTTTCACCAATAGAAAGATGAATACTTTGAAACATGCAATTAATACTATAATTATCAGAGAAGGATATGATTATAATGGTTTTAATCAGTTATTGACTTGTTCAACAAACTCTGAAATTTTCCAAAGAGGGCCCTCTCATTGTGAGGTTCTCTTTGCACTCTTCCAAAGGAGACCCCCTCACCATGCATGCATGCAGGGGTCAGAAGAAAAAACAAGGGGAAAACGAAAAAATAGCAGAAGCAATGACCCGAAAGAAATCACAATCACATTCCTTGGTTTTGAATACGCCTTGAGCCAAATTTTGAGCAGAGTAATGGCCATAGCTCCGGCAACAATTCTCCGGCCAACTCTCATGATCATCGTCACTTTGCCTGTGATATATTCCATGACAGAAGCTGAAGCTTTGGTAAGTCTCAAAAGCACTTTCACCAATGCTCAACTTTTAAATGGTTGGGTGGCTGGTTCTGCACCTTGTAGTTTAGACGATCAATGGGAAGGTGTTGTTTGCAACAATGGCCTTGTCACGGGGCTTCGCCTTGGAGGAATAGGGTTAGTCGGGGAAATACACGTTGATCCATTGCTTGAACTCAAGGGTCTTCGAACTATTAGCCTTAACAACAACTCTTTCACAGGTTCCATGCCAGAGTTCAACCGAATAGGCTTTTTGAAAGCCTTGTATTTGCAAGGAAACAAGTTTTCTGGGGATATTCCTCAGGAATACTTCCAGAGAATGAGGTCTTTGAAGAAAGTGTGGCTTTCTGATAACCAATTCACGGGGAATATTCCACATTCATTGACTGAGATTTCTAGTCTTATGGAGTTGCACCTTGAAAATAACCAGTTTAGTGGAACCATTCCGGATTTCAAAAACCCAACATTGGAGGACATAAATCTTTCCAACAACAAATTGGAAGGTGAAGTTCCAGCTAGTTTGTTGAGATTCAGCGAGAACAGGTTTTCTGGGAATTCTGCTCTTTGTGGTGAGAAGATTGGCAAAACATGTGAAAAGCCAGCGGAGGTCCCAAGTCCTGCTCCCATTGATGCATCGGATGCTGCTGGTGATTCGCCTGTGCCACATAGTAGTACCCCATGGGAGGTTGCTGCCATTATAGTAGTGAGTGTAGTGCTTGTTTCAATAGTTGTATTTTTCATTGTGAGAACAAGAAAAAAGAAGGAGGAGGAGCGCTTTGATATCCTTGGAAATGATGCTAATGGTGGTGGTTCAGTGGAAGTTCAAGTGGCTACAACGGTGAAAAGGGATGTGGATGCAAATACATTGCCAGCAGTTAAAAAATCATCGTCCAGAAGAGGATCTGCAGCTTCTCAAAGTAAAGGCGTTGGAGAACTTGTGATAGTGAATGATGAGAAGGGCGTGTTTGGATTGCCAGATTTGATGAGGGCAGCAGCAGAAGTTCTGGGAAACGGTAGCTTTGGATCTTCTTACAAAGCCGTCATGGCTAATGGAGTGGCAGTGGTGGTGAAAAGGACCAGAGAGATGAATGTTTTGGAAAAAGATGGTTTTGATGCAGAGATGAGGAAGCTCACTTCGCTTAAACACTGGAATATATTGACCCCTTTAGCTTATCATTTCAGAAAGGATGAGAAACTAGTGATCTCTGAGTATGTTCCCAAAGGCAGTCTACTGTTTTCACTTCATGGTAAGGCTTCTTCTTCCAAAGTTCTTCAACTCAACATTTTCAAATGGGCAAACTTAGATATTGGTTTCTTACAAGGGTTTGCATTAACCAAGATTAGTCAAAGAAACTTTACCTAAGTTTTGTCCTATCAAATCTCTTAAGTCTTGAAAAGTATCATAGAGTTTGTGCAGATAGTAAGCGTTTATATATGTTGTGTTATTTGCAGGTGACAGAGGATCATCGCATACTGAGCTGGATTGGCCTGCACGTATGAAGGTTGTAGGTGGAATTGCGGAAGGGATGAATTATCTTCACAAAGAACTTGGTTCCTCAGATCTCCCACATGGGAATCTCAAGTCCAGCAACGTTCTACTGGGACCAGACAATGAACCACTGCTTGTAGATTACGGATTCAGCGGCATGGTTAACCCTTCAAGTGCTGCACAGACACTATTTGCTTACAAGGCACCAGAGGCAGCAGAAAACGGGGAAATTTCACATAGCTGTGATGTTTACTGTCTCGGGGTTGTGATACTTGAGATACTCACTGGGAAATTTCCTTCACAATATCTTAGCACTGGGAAAGGTGGAACTGATGTGGTGCAATGGGTTGAAACAGCAATCTCAGAGGGCAGGGTGGCTGAAGTGGTTGATCCAGAAATTGCAAACTCTAGAAAATCGGTAGGTGAGATGGAGCAACTCCTGCACATCGGTGCTGCTTGCACGAGAAGCAACCCTCTGCAACGGTTAGGCATGGAGGAAGCCTTTAGAAGGATAGATCAGGTAAGATCCGAGAGTGGCCTTGTCAAAGGATCAAGAACGACAGAGGTGTTGCCATCTTTGGTAGATGACTATGAAGATGCACAAGAATTTGAGAGCCAAGGGCATTTTGACAACTCACACAGAAGACATGGAACAGATAGCTTCGGAAGTGTGGATAATATTGAACTTGGCAGCTCCTAGGTAACAGATTTAGAATGTCTTCATGGTAAAAGGAATGTGTCATGTGTGCAATTGTGGAAGTGTGTTATTTGGTACATACCTTAGAATTTTTAAGTTATAGATCAGGGACGTGTATAAATTTTTATGATACTTAAACTTACTCATATTTCAGTTATAGGACTAAACTTTTTCTTCATTCTGGAAAAAAATTTCAGTAACTTATACGGAAACATCCACTCCCTCTCTCACAACGGTCGTTGCTTACATAGGTTGATTAAGGGCACTTACCATTTTACTTAAATTCATAGTTACAAGAATGGTGCAAATTAAACTTTTTTTTAGAATAGATTAGTTGTGCCAATTTATTAAAGTCGTGTCAAGTTAATACCACTTTTTGAAGTCGTGCTAAACTGAAACGCATCATTTCTGATATATTGAAGTCCTCTTAACATATGACGACTATCCATATAGGTCATAATAGAGACAACTATGCATAAAGCCAATAATTTTTTATCACTTGTAAAATGATTCAAGATCTTAAAATGCACTTTGTTTACTCCATTTTGATTACATTTAACTTTTTCTTATAAACTTCCAAAAGGTAATGTTTATTTCTTACTTCATTACCTCAATTCATTAAGTGAATTTAGTTATACAAAAAAAAATCTTATTTAACCAAAAAATAAGAAGTATAAAATGACATGGAACACAATGCAATGATTGATAAAAAAAATTGCAAGTTAACTAAAATCATCAAAATATAACACGACTTCAATTAATTTAAAACAAAATTGAAGTTGTCACAACATGACATGACTTTAGTTCATTTCAATACATAACTGAAATTGTTACAGAATGTCACAACTTTAGTTCACTTCAGTTCAAAATTGAAGTCATCACAACATGACATGATATTACTTTGGTTTGTGATCAATTCTAATCAAAGTCGTCTCAAACTGAAACGACTTCAACTTTTCACAAAAATAGTTACATGTTGACATGACTTTAGTTTATCAAGAGTGAAGTTGTTCCTCAGCTTGACATAACTTGTCAATTCTAAAAAAAATTTGAAATTTGCATCATTTGTAAAATTTCGAGATAAAATTACACTACAATGGTGAAAAAACCATAATTAGACTACTAATACCAATTTTATGTTAGTGTGTAAGCCGAGACAATTGTTGTTTAACTATCTTTGACACTTGTACTTTGCTATTATAAAAACCCAACACTTGTACCTATTTAGTTAGTGGAGTGAATAATACACACAGATTATTCAGCGTATATTGAGTTTTGTCTTCTTTCTCTGGTCACTTCACCTGGTCGTTCGGTACTTTAGTGCTTTGCTGTTCGGTGCAATAATACTCTACTGGTTCTTCCGGTGCAAGCATTCTCAGACCGTTCGGTTCAGTGCAATAGGTTCAAACTCTCTTTCTCTACCTTTCTAACAGTGGTATCCAGAGCTCAGGTTCGAGGCTTGGGAGCTTCAGAAATCATCAAGGCTTGGCGGAAGGGTGGTTGAAGCATGAAAAAGATCAAGATTGTGTTTCTTGGTAAAAGATTGAGGGTGTAAAGGATGGCCAACAGTGATATTTCATTCGCTAATCTACCAATTCCCACGAAGAAAAAATGGAGCAAATGGAGTACACAGATGCGAGTCCTATTCAGATACCAAGATGTGCATGAGGTGGTTGACGGTGATCATCAAGAATTTCCTGTGGGTGAAGTTGATGATCAGAAGGCCAAGGAGAGAAAGAAAGACAATAAAAAGTTGTTCATTATTCACCAATGTGTAGACGATGCTCACTTTGAAAAAATCCAGCATGCAAAGACTGCGAGAGAAGCTTGGAGTATCTTGATCAGGTGTCATACTAGAGGAGAAAAGATCAAGAAGGTCAAGTTGCAGACATTAAGGAGGCAGTATGAGTTGATGCAGATGATGGAGGGTGATAGAGTTAGAGAGTACTTTGATAAAGTGATTGCCATCACCAATCAAATGAAGGGATGTGGAGAAGTCATCACAGACTTAATGGTCATTAAAAAGATCATGAGGTCTTTGCCTCAGAAATTCAATTACATAGTTGTGGCTATAGAAGAATCAAGAGAGCTGGATAAGATGAAGATAGAAGAATTGTAAAGCTCCCTGGAAGCACATGAGATGAAGATGTTTGACAAAAATCCAATCAGGAGGGATGAGCATGCATTGAAGGTGGATCATTCTGAGAATGAAGAGAAGAAAACATTCAAGAAATGGAAAGGGAAACTTGGAAAAGGGAAGTGGAGAAATTATACGAGCAAAGATGATCAAGATGAACTTCAATAGAGGAGGAGAATGGAAAATTAGATAAGAAGTTCCGCAAGAAAGACAAGAGGAATGTTGAATGTTTCAATTGTCATAAGTACGGGCANACAACGGTGAAAAGGGATGTGGATGCAAATACATTGCCAGCAGTTAAAAAATCATCGTCCAGAAGAGGATCTGCAGCTTCTCAAAGTAAAGGCGTTGGAGAACTTGTGATAGTGAATGATGAGAAGGGCGTGTTTGGATTGCCAGATTTGATGAGGGCAGCAGCAGAAGTTCTGGGAAACGGTAGCTTTGGATCTTCTTACAAAGCCGTCATGGCTAATGGAGTGGCAGTGGTGGTGAAAAGGACCAGAGAGATGAATGTTTTGGAAAAAGATGGTTTTGATGCAGAGATGAGGAAGCTCACTTCGCTTAAACACTGGAATATATTGACCCCTTTAGCTTATCATTTCAGAAAGGATGAGAAACTAGTGATCTCTGAGTATGTTCCCAAAGGCAGTCTACTGTTTTCACTTCATGGTAAGGCTTCTTCTTCCAAAGTTCTTCAACTCAACATTTTCAAATGGGCAAACTTAGATATTGGTTTCTTACAAGGGTTTGCATTAACCAAGATTAGTCAAAGAAACTTTACCTAAGTTTTGTCCTATCAAATCTCTTAAGTCTTGAAAAGTATCATAGAGTTTGTGCAGATAGTAAGCGTTTATATATGTTGTGTTATTTGCAGGTGACAGAGGATCATCGCATACTGAGCTGGATTGGCCTGCACGTATGAAGGTTGTAGGTGGAATTGCGGAAGGGATGAATTATCTTCACAAAGAACTTGGTTCCTCAGATCTCCCACATGGGAATCTCAAGTCCAGCAACGTTCTACTGGGACCAGACAATGAACCACTGCTTGTAGATTACGGATTCAGCGGCATGGTTAACCCTTCAAGTGCTGCACAGACACTATTTGCTTACAAGGCACCAGAGGCAGCAGAAAACGGGGAAATTTCACATAGCTGTGATGTTTACTGTCTCGGGGTTGTGATACTTGAGATACTCACTGGGAAATTTCCTTCACAATATCTTAGCACTGGGAAAGGTGGAACTGATGTGGTGCAATGGGTTGAAACAGCAATCTCAGAGGGCAGGGTGGCTGAAGTGGTTGATCCAGAAATTGCAAACTCTAGAAAATCGGTAGGTGAGATGGAGCAACTCCTGCACATCGGTGCTGCTTGCACGAGAAGCAACCCTCTGCAACGGTTAGGCATGGAGGAAGCCTTTAGAAGGATAGATCAGGTAAGATCCGAGAGTGGCCTTGTCAAAGGATCAAGAACGACAGAGGTGTTGCCATCTTTGGTAGATGACTATGAAGATGCACAAGAATTTGAGAGCCAAGGGCATTTTGACAACTCACACAGAAGACATGGAACAGATAGCTTCGGAAGTGTGGATAATATTGAACTTGGCAGCTCCTAGGTAACAGATTTAGAATGTCTTCATGGTAAAAGGAATGTGTCATGTGTGCAATTGTGGAAGTGTGTTATTTGGTACATACCTTAGAATTTTTAAGTTATAGATCAGGGACGTGTATAAATTTTTATGATACTTAAACTTACTCATATTTCAGTTATAGGACTAAACTTTTTCTTCATTCTGGAAAAAAATTTCAGTAACTTATACGGAAACATCCACTCCCTCTCTCACAACGGTCGTTGCTTACATAGGTTGATTAAGGGCACTTACCATTTTACTTAAATTCATAGTTACAAGAATGGTGCAAATTAAACTTTTTTTTAGAATAGATTAGTTGTGCCAATTTATTAAAGTCGTGTCAAGTTAATACCACTTTTTGAAGTCGTGCTAAACTGAAACGCATCATTTCTGATATATTGAAGTCCTCTTAACATATGACGACTATCCATATAGGTCATAATAGAGACAACTATGCATAAAGCCAATAATTTTTTATCACTTGTAAAATGATTCAAGATCTTAAAATGCACTTTGTTTACTCCATTTTGATTACATTTAACTTTTTCTTATAAACTTCCAAAAGGTAATGTTTATTTCTTACTTCATTACCTCAATTCATTAAGTGAATTTAGTTATACAAAAAAAAATCTTATTTAACCAAAAAATAAGAAGTATAAAATGACATGGAACACAATGCAATGATTGATAAAAAAAATTGCAAGTTAACTAAAATCATCAAAATATAACACGACTTCAATTAATTTAAAACAAAATTGAAGTTGTCACAACATGACATGACTTTAGTTCATTTCAATACATAACTGAAATTGTTACAGAATGTCACAACTTTAGTTCACTTCAGTTCAAAATTGAAGTCATCACAACATGACATGATATTACTTTGGTTTGTGATCAATTCTAATCAAAGTCGTCTCAAACTGAAACGACTTCAACTTTTCACAAAAATAGTTACATGTTGACATGACTTTAGTTTATCAAGAGTGAAGTTGTTCCTCAGCTTGACATAACTTGTCAATTCTAAAAAAAATTTGAAATTTGCATCATTTGTAAAATTTCGAGATAAAATTACACTACAATGGTGAAAAAACCATAATTAGACTACTAATACCAATTTTATGTTAGTGTGTAAGCCGAGACAATTGTTGTTTAACTATCTTTGACACTTGTACTTTGCTATTATAAAAACCCAACACTTGTACCTATTTAGTTAGTGGAGTGAATAATACACACAGATTATTCAGCGTATATTGAGTTTTGTCTTCTTTCTCTGGTCACTTCACCTGGTCGTTCGGTACTTTAGTGCTTTGCTGTTCGGTGCAATAATACTCTACTGGTTCTTCCGGTGCAAGCATTCTCAGACCGTTCGGTTCAGTGCAATAGGTTCAAACTCTCTTTCTCTACCTTTCTAACAGTGGTATCCAGAGCTCAGGTTCGAGGCTTGGGAGCTTCAGAAATCATCAAGGCTTGGCGGAAGGGTGGTTGAAGCATGAAAAAGATCAAGATTGTGTTTCTTGGTAAAAGATTGAGGGTGTAAAGGATGGCCAACAGTGATATTTCATTCGCTAATCTACCAATTCCCACGAAGAAAAAATGGAGCAAATGGAGTACACAGATGCGAGTCCTATTCAGATACCAAGATGTGCATGAGGTGGTTGACGGTGATCATCAAGAATTTCCTGTGGGTGAAGTTGATGATCAGAAGGCCAAGGAGAGAAAGAAAGACAATAAAAAGTTGTTCATTATTCACCAATGTGTAGACGATGCTCACTTTGAAAAAATCCAGCATGCAAAGACTGCGAGAGAAGCTTGGAGTATCTTGATCAGGTGTCATACTAGAGGAGAAAAGATCAAGAAGGTCAAGTTGCAGACATTAAGGAGGCAGTATGAGTTGATGTAGATGATGGAGGGAGATAGAGTTAGAGAGTACTTTGATAAAGTGATTGCCATCACCAATCAAATGAAGGGATGTGGAGAAGTCATCACAGACTTAATGGTCATTAAAAAGATCATGAGGTCTTTGCCTCAGAAATTCAATTACATAGTTGTGGCTATAGAAGAATCAAGAGAGCTGGATAAGATGAAGATAGAAGAATTGTAAAGCTCCCTGGAAGCACATGAGATGAAGATGTTTGACAAAAATCCAATCAGGAGGGATGAGCATGCATTGAAGGTGGATCATTCTGAGAATGAAGAGAAGAAAACATTCAAGAAATGGAAAGGGAAACATGGAAAAGGGAAGTGGAGAAATTATACGAGCAAAGATGATCAAGATGAACTTCAATAGAGGAGGAGAATGGAAAATTAGATAAGAAGTTCCGCAAGAAAGACAAGAGGAATGTTGAATGTTTCAATTGTCATAAGTACGGGCACTACTCTTATGACTACTATGCTGAAAAGGAAGAGCAGAAGAAGGTTCAAGGAAAGGAGGCTTACATGGCTCAAGAAGAATCTGATTCAGATCCCCTCACATTGATGGTAACTACATCTGCAGAAAACTCACACTCTCAAGATCAAATATGGTATTTGGATTCGGGATGTTTGAATCATATGAATTTCCACAGAAAATGGTTGATGAATTTTGATGAAACCAAGAGTAGGGTGAAATGTGCTGATGATAGTACTTTGAAGGTAGAGGGAATTTGTGATGTTGTTATCAGAAGGAAGAATGACTCGCGTGCCATTATAACTAATGTGTTGTTTGTGCCTACAATGAGATGCAATCTTCTAAGTATTGGCCAGTTGATTCAAAAGGGTTTTACAGCAGTAATGGGAGGCTTCAATAAGGTTGAGTTGCTTGATAAAAACAAAAACCTAATCTTAAGAAGCAAGATCTCAAAGAATAGAACATTTCATATCAGCATGGAGGTAGTGGAGAATGTTCAGTGTATGACTGATGTGAATTGGAGGAGCCACGGCAACTAGAAATGAAGCAAAAACAAATCAGCTTAGTGAAGTCTACAATGTGTGGAGAATCTGGAAACACAACAGAGCAAGAAGCAAACTCTGGAAGCAGTGGAGGTGTGCAAAACAATGAGCATCACTCTAAAGCCGCTAGACCACGAAGGAGACACTTGCTGACATAGAGATTCAGTGAATGTGAGGTGTATACTGATACACAGATTGATGATGAAGGAGATCTGGTGCACATAACTACGTTTGCAGGTGCAAAATCGATCGATGAAGTAGAAGATTTGAAGAAATTTGTGTGGAGGGATGCAATGAAAGAAGAAATTAATTCCATTGAGAAGAATGGAACCTGGAAGTCGGTTGATCTTCCAGTTGGAAAGAAAAACATTGGAGTGAAGTGGGTGTTCAAGCAGAAGCTTAAGCTAGAGGGATTTATATCCAAGCACAAAGCAAGGCTGGTTGCAAAGGGTGTTCATGGACCCTTGGAGGAAGAGGTATATGTCTGGCAGCCTCATGGTTTGTTGAAAGAGGGAGAAAAGGAAAATGTGAAGGGAGTGTTGCCGAAGTGAATAATTCTGACGAGGCATGGGGAGTCGTAGGGGAATGGAGACATGACGGCGTACACCACAACTCTCAACCACAGCATTCATTTAACCGCACAGGAGCGTCAAACTAGCGTCTGCCTTTGCCGCGTGATTGGCGGGGACGACTGCTCTACGGACTGGCAAGTGCAATTCAACGTGTCGCTCTACGCACGCACGCAATCTACGCTGCACGAGGTAGGTTGGTGTTTCTTGAAGAAGAGGATGTGTGTTATCTCCCTAGGTGCTTGTCTTAGAGGGGAGTGTTAGTGTGTAAGCCAAGACAGTTGTTGTTTAAACATCTTTGACACTTGTACTTTGCTATTATAAAAACCCAACACTTGTACCTATTTCATAGTTAGTGGAGTGATTAATACACAGATTATTCAACGCATATTGAGTTTTGTCTTCTTTCTCTGGTCAGTTCACTTGGTTGTTCGGTACTTTAGTGCTTTGTCGTTCGGTGCAATAGTACCCTGTTAGTTCATCTAGTGCAGGCGTTCTCAGACTATTCGGTGCAATAGGTTCAAATCCTCTTTCTCTACCTTTCTAAAATTTTATATGTTTAATGTATTGGGATAAAAGAAATTAACAGAAACGATAAATAATAAATCTACCAAATTTAATAAATTTAATGATACTGCTGAATAATTGGCTTGTTATAAAATAATTTCATAAGAATTAGCATTAAATTTGATAATTTTGAAAAAAATTAAAAAATATATGTTAGTTTTAAAATATTTATTAAAGTACAAGAGGTTGTATTACGTTTTTGTTATTGGGCCGATTTATCTTTTGTTTGTTGTTTAGTTTCTCTATTTATAGCCCCTTTTATATTTTGGAGTTTTCTATTTCTTCAAACACACAGACTTTGTATTTCTTTTTCTCTGAAGGAACTATCCTTACTGTAGTATGGTATTGTAATCAGGTTTTTGTTTGCCCTATTTGTTCTTCTTTGTGTCGTCAGGTTCTTCATTTTCCCCTTTCTTCATCTCGTTCTAGCGTTCTTGTTCCTGTTTCTTCATGGCCTCCGTCACTACCACCCCACCATCTCTACCCACGACATTCTTCAAGATCCACAAAGACATGCACTATCAATATTGCTTCCAACCCTACACACCATGAAAACACTTGGAAATCGATCTCCATTTTGTTTGGGAACAAGTCGATATATTTTTAGAAGGTATAAGAATGTTTAGAAAGTTATTTTCGCCATTGCAGTAGTAGAGAAGTGCAATAAACGAACGGAACAAAGTTAACTGTTTCTTCTGCACCCTTATATTTTCTTTTTGCACCCCATAATAAAATGGAAATGACCCAACTAACCTTCATTTTTAAAATATTAAAAACCCTAATATTAGAAACATCTAATAGATATTGTCACCGCACCTCCATATACTTTCTGCACCTACGTTGCCAAAAGGTCATACTCCTTTTATATTACGGATTGTACAATTCAATAATATTCTAGATCCAAAAACAGNGTAGGGTGAA